GTTTTGCAAAAGCAGACACTGCCACAGGGCCCCAAGTATGGATCAGGCCTCTTCTACCCGCTGTAGAGCAAAAATGAAAGGAAAAAGATGTTCCTGCCAGGTACATTTAAAATAATATTTCTCCTGGCCCTGACTTAGTACGGACCAGGAAGGGTTTCACTGATTGATATCACTGATTGCCCCAATTGGCTCTTGATGGCCTCTCCTAACACATCCCAGGCTGCGCCAGATATATCTGTCTGCCAGAAATATGCCTCTCAGCATCAGCAGAATCTTTCAGGAGTGGCAGATGTCACATGGCCCAGATTTGCAGCCACTAGAGTGACGGACCCTGCCCGTTTTCATTCCTGGAACATCTGGAGGACAACTTATTGGTTTTCTCAGATTCATTCACGAGTTAAAATTATCCTTGCAGATTAGTCGGTGGAAGCAGCTTGCCTCAATTAAAGGAAACCCAAGCCAATCCCACAGGAATGGAAGAGGTGTGATGTTATCTGTTCCCTGACTGCACACATCACGCTGGAGGTGCTCCTTTCGTTCCAGAACTTTGAATTCATTATGACTTGGAATCAGTTTCTCAAATGCTGCCTCATACTTGAATTTTGAAGGGAGGAAGCAATTCTGTTTTCGGCAGCTGTCATAAGAAATGAAGCAAGGTTTTGATCGGAGCTCTTATACATCTTTCAGTTCGGATAATTACAGGGGCTGAACTATATTTTAAACAGGAAATGTGTTTAGTGTTTCAGCAATCAAGTCATAAGACATCATATAATAATAAGTAAAATATTTCTATTTTTTATTATCCCATTATAAAACTGTGCTTTGACTTGGAATGCTAACGGGTTTATGGTGCGACTTATTTTCTCAGGGCCTATTTTCCCAGGGTATAATAGAAGAAACACAATGAAGTCTTACTGCTAAAGAAAACAACTAAGTAATACTATCCCAGTGCAAGTTTGTGGCACTGTGATAGTACCCAGTGTGTCATAGTTGTTACAGAGCTGTGCTGGAACTTGAGAGATTATGATTCCAGTCCACATTTAGCATGAAGGTCACTGGGTGAGTCTGGGCTAGTCATAGACTGTTAGCATGACCAACCTCACAGGGTTGTTGTGAAGATAAAATAGAAGGGAGAGGACCTTGTCAGCCTCCTTGAGGTCCTTGCAAGAGGAAGAAAGGTGAATTATAATGCAATGTGATAATACCTTATATAAGATAGAAGATATGTATTATATAATGTCTATAAAATGTGCCCTTGAGTGTCTTTCGGGTTATCCATGCCTCCTAAGTGCAGTGGAGTCATTAACTACTCCTGAGGTCCAGATTTTAGTACCCAGAAGGGCATGGGTCCAAGTGGCAATTGGTGGCAGTAATAAAACCTTGCTCTCATTTTTGGGTGATTTGTCCAAAACAGCATGACTCTGGCCATGTCCATCTTTGTCCAGACAATAGCATCAAAACTGCAGCAAGTGGGGGGATTCTGTCTGCAAAATGCAATGCAAACTGATCACAGCAAGCCATTGAAGGTGCTGTCTGATCTCCCAGCACTTTGGAGAGCAGGCATTTCACACTTGGATAAAGCGTTGCTGAATTGCTGTTGTGCAGACACGCTGGTTCGGGGAAGTAAGATTTTTAGAAGATTTCACCGCTCTCGAGTGAGTGTAAGGTAGTGTTTGTTTATGCTTCCCATGGGTTTTTTGCCACCTGTATGCTGACTGTTGACCGAATGGTTCCACAGGGGTGCCCAACTCATGTGTCAAATCCCTCTTCCAGGCACTGGCCTGCTGCTAGCAGGGCACTGGGGAAAGCCAGCCTCAGTCTGGATCATCAGTTAATTTTGAGTCAGCTTTATGTGTTAGAGGACTTGCTTTCTGCTTCTATCAGAGCCACATTTCCTGCTTCTTGTCAGGGCCCAGGGCTGAGATGTGGGTGGCCAGAGGCACTGGGACCAGGGCAACAGAACTCAAGGTGGGACAGAGTTCCAACATAAGGTTTAACTGCAAGTCCAATAGCAAAGTACAAGTCATAGTAACCAAGGAGCAAGCCAGGGTCAGGAGCCAGTTGTGCACATATCCAGGCAGAACAAGGATGTGGTCAGGAACAAGCCAAGGGCTGACAGCCAGGAGAATGAAAGTGCAGGTATCTCGGACAGGATAACAGGACAGGAGTCACAGCAAGCATCAGGCAAGATGCAGAAGCTGAACCACAGCAAGCCGGCAAACCCACATTGTTGAGGCAACAAGGCTGGGCAGAATACACAGCAAGGCAAGGTGCACAGCATGGCAGTATACAAACAGTGAGGCAGGCTACGGGTCAGGCAAGAGACAGGAACAGCAGCAAGACAAGAAACTTGGCAAGGTAGGGTACCTGGCAAGAGGCAGTATACAAACAGCAAGGTAGGATACAGGTACAACAGAAAACAGAGAGACCTGTGATGCTGAGGCAACATGGCAAGGCAGGATACACAGCAGGAATCAGGAGCAGGCACTAGAGCTAACAGGAGGACCTGCAGTGCTGAGACCAGTTCTGGAGAGAAGAGTTTGCTCTTACCCCCAGGGCTCCCAGCAGGTGCTCATCCAGCAGAGCCTGGGACCAGTCCTGCAAATACCAAGCAGGTGGTTCTGGTTCCAGGCACCAGAGCAATCCAGATTCTGACACCTCTTCAGTGTCACCCACAAATCCATGGTAGCTAATTAAGACTGTTGCAGTTCCTAAGTAGGTTTGCCTGAGCAGTGGGAGGCACCCAGGAATTTGCTGTAGACTAAAATTTATCAACACATGTAAATAATAATGTCATCTATGGCATGGCTGCTAGGAGACCACCAAGTCAGATGAGGTCAGAGTGAAATCTGAATCCAGGAGTCACCTTGTTTAATGGAAACAGGTCAAATGCTCCGGCGTTTCAACAGGATCTTAGTGTCACAGGTGGTGACCTTATTAGTGGCGATGCACAAGTCTGACAGCTCTCCTCATGCCAAAGACAGGCCCCTGCAGCCTCTCTCCCCTCCCCCATTTGCCTCTCAGCCAGACCTTTGCACTGGGCTCGCACCGATGGACAAAGATTTGGTTAGGCATAGACTAAGACACCTGCAATCCCTCAATTTGCTGTTGGGAGACTGACATGACGGACTGGCTCTTTCTAACTTGGAATTTGTTGTGTAAGCCATCATGAGATTTTTAATGAATGATGGTATTAAACTAAATAAATAAACAAATTCTATTAGAAAACAATTGCGCTGTAATAACCAGAGCATCTAATGATTTCTCCCCAGGTTTTTGCCACAAGACCAAAGAGCAGTTATGCTAAATAAACCAGCACTGTATTTGTTCTGGTTTTATTTTAGTGTGAACTCAGAGTTCCTGTCCAGATTGGGACCCTACGAAGAATTTAAGAATTTAAGAAAAGCCATGCTGGATCAGAGAAAGTGTCTGTCTAGCTCAGCACTCCATACACCTGGTGGCAAACCAGCTGCCCACAGGATCCCTCAAGCAGGATGGGTGCAAGACCTCCTCCTGCCCGAGCTCCTCAGCAACTGGTGTTTGAAGGCATGTCACCCCGGTAAAGCAGGGAGCACATAGTCAGCAACCCTGATGTGGGGTCGTAATGTTGTCATCCCCCCACCCCTACATATTCCACACTCCATTATTGGGACTGTGCCTTCCCTTTCTGAAATTTATAGTACCCAGTGGGGATCTAGTTGCTTTCAAGGATTAGTATAAATGGCAAACATGGATGGATTAGGACCCCGTGCATACAGCATTTGGTGGATATGCAGAGGTCTAGGGAACGCGGCGTGCAGTGATGTCCATGCCACAGGGCCAGGATAACATGTTCCCTGATCCATAGGCTTATTAAATGCAAGGAAGAAACAGGTGGTGGACTCTTCATTTGTACAACATTGTTTGTGCTATGGCTGAACATAAAGGGCTTTACCTGCAATAACACAAGCATTTGAAATGCATTTCAGGCAAAAGCAACAATTAAAGTGACAAACTGCTTATTAGGTGAAGGATCTGCGTCTAAATCTCCCAAGCTTTTCCTTTTGGCTCAAGGCAGAGAGCTATTAAGTTGCTTCTTTCAGTGCTGGGGGGGAGGGCATTCAATCCTTCCTCCCCACCTCTTTGATGGTTTCCTAATCTAACAGCTGTTAGTAGAACAGAAAGAAAGAACTGCGGAAAGAACTGTTGTGATCAGCAAGCCATTATGAGAGGGAAGGGGAAAGCGCACCGCTGAACACACTGACAGACTCACGCTGCTGCAGATCATTAAAAAGGAAAATGTTGCGAGATCCAGTCATTATTCTTCCATCAGTAATGGGTCTCTTGGACCTAAGCCAGAGAGTATTAATATCTCAGTAGCACCATTTCTGAAGGAAAAGAAGAGGGGAATGAAACCTGAAATCAAAGCAACATGAGTGCAATTAGCAAAAATAATAAATTGTCCTTTTAGCTTTTCAATAATTGTTTCTGTAACCTTAATGACTCAATGCTTCATTCCTCTCAAAGATAATAGGGGGAAAGAGCCATTTATTTATTTTCCTTATTTAGATACATACTCTTTTAAACAAGGATTGCCATATCCTTGTGTGATTTAGGTAAATAATAGCACTGTGGAGTGCTTATTTACAGATGCAGAATGGTGAGTGCATGAGATTCCCCCTTTGAGTGCCTTTAAATTTATAGTTTTCTGTATGGCTACAAATAAAATCCCAACTTCTACAAATCAAATGACAAAACCATTGTAACTGAGAAATTCATATTGATGTTCAATTTTTGAAGTGAATTTGATGTACTTTTCATATATAACAGTGAGACATTCTATATTACAGAGTAAAAAGTGCTCCCAGCAATATGTCACTTCAGAAACTTCCATGCATCCAACAGTGCTGAACTGGGACTGAACTCATATATTTCATGTCCGAGTCCAAAAATGTTTGCAACCAGTTGATGTCTGCCCTGCTTACTGATACTACTCAAAACCACTTTTTCCCCTTTCCTAGGCCCTGAATACATGAAGAGGAGGCTGCTCCAGGAACTCATGGAGAATGAGGAGAATATAGAGAACATGGAAGAAGAGGCACCACCTGTGGAAGAGCCTCCTCAGAAAACATCTTCTCAAAGTCCTGAGGCTGAAGAGCAAGAGTCTACCAAACCCAAAGAAAGTCCAGCTCGAACTCCTTCACCCACTGGAACACCACCAGAGGCCAAGCGTGCTAAGCAGAGTTCCCAGAAGGATGGTTTACATGGCTCTGGAAGCTGGAATGGAGATCACACCAAGGATGGAAGCCATACAGGAAGCAGGCCAAACACACCTTCTAATGCATTTTTGGCACCAGCCGAGAAGTCGGCTGGCACCAGCAGGCCTGCTTCCCGAAGCCCCAGCCGACCTAGCCACATGAGGATCGCTGCTGAGCAGATGGAGATCAAACCTCTCCAGAGGATAGAACCTGAAGGCGATGTTGCATTATTTCAGGGCTATCACAGTTATGCTGTGAGGACCTCCCCAGTTACTCCCCCACTGAACTATGAGGAAGAACCATTCCCTGATTCCAAATTGCCTGCCAAACCAAGTTCCCCAGAACCAAAAGCTGATGTGAAGGCCATTGAACCGAAATTGGAGCTGCAAAAGAGGGGAGGTACACCTGTCCTTCAGCACGAACCAGCTCATGAAGAGAAAAAAGCACTCAAAGCAGAACCTAAGCAGGAGCCCAAGAAACACCCTCCTCCTGAACACAAAGTGCAAGAAAAAGTGGAGCCTGCAATTGAAGGCAAGCCTGAGCGGAAGGCTGAAACAAAGGTGGTAGCCAAAATCGAGCCCAAGGCTGTGCTGAAAAAAGTTCCTTCTCCAGAAGCAGCAGCAAAGGAGGTGGAAGAACAAGAAGAGGTGATGTTGGTCTGTCTTGACAGTGGAATGGAGAGTGGGAGGACAGGGGGGCAACAGTACATCGCAGTGTTCTTAATTTCCCTTTCTGAGGGCTGTCGAGCTTCATAGTTTTCAGGTGGAAAAGCTGAGTTTGCTTCACAACATTTGTGCATCTGATCTGGCAGACTAGGCTGGCATACTCTCTTGATATGACTACATATCTCTCCAGAACCACAGTATTTCAATCTAAAGTGAGTTTTATGTATTCTGCCACTAGATGAGGCTGTAAAGTGTGGAGCTGGTGTTTTACCTTAGATCAGCAAGTGCCATCAGACACAGCTGGGCAATTCTTAATATGAAGTCCTAAGAAACATGCATTTCATAACAGTTTGATATCTTACCCCACAACTCCTCTGGATGCAGCTTCAGAAAAAGGTGCTAGATGTACCTTGGTTCAGGAAATGTTGTTGGTCCACCTCCCCGCACACCCCACTGCCTTAATGGAGCTGTATGCTATTTAGGGTGCGATGCTATGCATTTTAGAAAGAAACAAGTTCTCTAATGCTGCAGAACTAGCTGGGGGATGCCACAAGTTGTAGGACTTTTTCTGTTCACACATCTATAACATTGTGCACTTAAAGCACCAGGACATTGAAATATTAACTGTATTCACAACTTATTGCCAGAATGAACATTCCTGGGTTGGAGAAAAGGTTTCTGATAGTGTCATTCATCACCTGATGTAGCATTGATCACTTTGACCCAACTGAACTGTTTTTCCCGAAAGATTTTGTTTTCGCTTTCTTGCTGGCACTTTAAACCTTAGGGCTGGTTTACACAAGTATTGATCTCTTCTTTTTGATGATGCAAGGTGATTATGAAAGTACTATCTGTGGTGCCTTATTTACACACATGACAATACTCAAGTAGTTCCACACATCAATGCAAACTGCTTCTTATGACAATTGACAGTGCCTGAGTGCTAACTTTTGTCCGATCCACACAATATCCATAGCCTGAGCATGTGGAGAGTCTGACCAATGTCAAAGAAATTGTTTGTGTGAGAGCAAAGTGTTGTTGTTCTTGTTGTTTTGTTAACTCTTCCCTTTTGAAATGAATGTGTAGTGGGGATTAAACACATTACTCCTAGTGCATTAACTACATTTAGCCTGCATAGTTGACGGTTCTGACCCACAGCCAGGGATCAGGGGAGAAAAGGGTATTTGGACCAAGCAGATCCAATGCTATCTCTGTCCTACACCTGTTGAGATGTCTTTGTTTAACTAGGGACCTTCTCCATTCACCAACACGTTTGGGATTTATAATTGCTGTGCACATTGCCCCTAATTTGTGTAAGTATTGTAATTCCTCTTCCCTTTCCTCTTCTATTGTATTTTTAGCCCACCTTTCTGCCTCTTGCAAGGAAGATTTGTGGCTGAACTAATTGCTTGATAAATGAGTGAAAGAGTATAAGGGGATGCTACATTTATAAAAGCTGAGGCTCCACAGATAGAATTTTAAGAGCTTCTAACTGTTTCATGTTGCTATGTAAATCTCTTGCCCCCTAATAAAGAATCTAATTACTGTTCAGCTTTAATGTAGGCTAAAATGGATTAGGTTCGAATTCCCATTTATAGGGGGAAGGCAGAAGGAAAACAGTTTAACTGATATGCCTTTTGGTGAACTTTTGAGACCTGTTGGCTAGCATAGGCAAGTTTTGCTTTTCATAGCACCACCAGTTGCTAGTTTTATGACATTGTATCTCAGCCACTGGGGCCTTAGGGTGTCATGCCCACCCAGCTCCTATAATGGGTCTCAGTTCAGTTGGTGTTCCAAACCCCTTACATAAATTTCTGGTCCAGTGGCATTTGGATAACTGTGCACAGTTCTGTGTGCCTCATCTCCGAATGCACGTTGCAGACCAGGAAATCCTGCAGAAAAGGTGAACAAAAGAATACTTCTTTAGAAGGAAAAGAGAAAAGCATCTGGGGACTTCAGGTTTTGAAAAAGGCCTGCTGAAGGGCAAGAGAACATGAGAGAGGTTTATATGATTAGACATGGTGTGGTGTCAATGAATAGAGCACCTGCCCCGTCTTGTGCCCTCGAGAAGGCTTGGACTGTAACTGGCTGGGAATGACGGGAGTCACAGCCCAAGTCATGTGGAGGGGGAAATTTGGAAAGAGAGAGTTCAATGAAGCAGAGTGGTTAGAGTGTTGCACTGGGCTCTGGGAGATCCAGGTTGTAGCGCCCATTCAGCATAAAGTTCACTGGGTGACTTTGGACTCAGCCTAGCATTCTTCACAGGGCTCTTGTGAGGATAAAATAGAGAGGAGCAGGACCTTTTAAGCCACCGTGTATTCCTTGCAAAAAGGGGGGAAATGAAAGACAGACAGAGTCTGCCCCTCCCATTTCACAATGCTAGGATATGAACCATTTGTACCAGTAGAATTGATTGGCAATCAGTACAAGCAAGACAAAGAGGTTTTCTACCTGAGACTTTTATTGTGCTCTTATGATTCCTTACTTGTGATTTTTACAGGCTCTTTAGATAAAATCAGGAGCTCACAATTTTGCTTTTGCTTTTTCAGCAGTTTCTTGGGTTTTCTTTTAGAATATGGAAAATGAAGTATTACACTGGAATGCAGAAAATGTGCTATTTCTCCTTGTGTATTTGTGTTATTCTGATATAGCACAGCTCCACCTAAAGGCCATGCACTCAAAAAGCAGGAAAGCAAGAACTTTTGTGTAGTGTTCAGATCTTGGTGCTGCACTAAAAAAGAAAGTAGATACTGTTTTGTGTAGAGAGGTCCAAAGGAATGTACTTCTTCACACAATGCTTAACTACTTTATGGAATTTGTTGCCATAAAATTGGCTGTTGGCCTTCAGTACTTGGAAGGGGATTAGACATGTTGATGAAGAAGGATAGCTTATTGATTGTTATTATTCACTATCCCACCATTAAGCCATTGTTGTGGGCTAGAAAGTATGCTGCTTAATACTGGTGGTTGAGGGCAAAAGGATGAGCCAGAGGTGGTCTCCATGCCCTCCGTTCTGTATCTCGTTAGCACTGTGTGAAGCAGAATGCCAGCCTAACTTCAGCTTGTCACAGATGTCATGACAAGCTGTGGGTAGCATAAGATGGAAGCAAAAACATCTGAACCTTGTAGCTACCCTGGAAGGGGGCGCAACCAGGTCTTGCTGCTCCACACCCCCATAATGTAGAACTGCAGTTTAGTATTATAAGTGACTGTAGCAGTGCCTGCGTAAAATGAAAATATAGCCTGTGGTTTTCATTTGGAAATGTCATTAAGGAAATTTTTATTTTTGTCTTAAAAACAGTAGATAATATTATACTCTTGGGTTTTTTTCCCTCAGGGACCTAACACAATCATCATCTGCATGGTTATACTGTTGAACATTGGCCTGTCCATTTTGTTTGTGCATTTCCTGACATGATGTGAAACTAAGACAAGGTAAGAGTGATGAAATGTTATTCCCAAATTATTATGATTATAATAAAGTATTATTTCATTTCTGTTGACCCAAATGCTGAAGCCTTCTGTGAAGTTCACATACATTTGTAAAAAAGCAGGAAAAAACGTTATATTAAAAAGCATAAAATTTCCAGTTTGAAAGCAGAATGTAAAACAATTTAGACAGCTAAAATAATTTTCAATCCGTTTTTCCCCTGTTACACCCTCCCATGACATAAAATGCCATTGAATGCTTTGCAGAAAAGAGTACTCTTTTCTGAGGGAAGAGAGTTGAGATCAGGAGAACCTCAGCGGGGAGATCATTCCACAGCTGAAGCCCCGCACTGAGAAAACTCTCCCCTTTGTGGTCACCCTTCAAGCCTCCCTCAGAAGTGGCACTCAGAGGAAGGCCTCAGATGTTGGTTGTGGTGTTGTAGCCGCAAGCCATGTAATAACTTGGGGTGCCCTCCTGTTTTGACAACTGGAAGAGGAGGTAAAGACTGCAGCCTTGGCACAGGACGTTCTTGCTTGACAGACCTTGCAAAGGGAGAGGGTACATTTGCCAGTGAAGAGAGGTGAATGGAACTGCCCCAGTTCACATATTGGTGTGAGAAGAGCTGCTTCTCATCCTTTGCCATCTTTTCTAAAGACCCAGTAAACCTGAATTCCCTCTTCACGTATTTTTTTTCCTCCTTCGGTATGTGTGTGTTGAGAATCACAGAAGCAGGTACACTGCATTCCATGCATCATCTTCAGGGTTTGTGATGGAGAAAAATGTGGCCCTTTTTCTCAAGGGCCACAACAGTGAACATTTCTACATGCTCGCTGTTGATGCTGCCAAATTATGGACCAAGCAGAGATGAGCAAGAATGTGGCGAAATGATGAGAAAGAAGGGGAAGACGGTCCCATAGTCTAGTGACATGGGGCAAGTGAATACCTGAGTCCTTACAGGCCACACAGTGCTGGTTGTAATCTTCTAATCCCTTATAGAAGAATGGAAGGTCTTTTTCCTGTCAAAAGCTTTCTATGATCACAATTGCACAGATATTTAACTGGGAGTAAGACTGACTGAACTTCATAGGACACTGCCGTCCTGCTTAGGATTCCCCAGTAAATGTTACTGTATCAGTAATTATGACATCTCTTGCCATTGTACCTCTCTAATATTTTTTCTCTCTGACTTTGATCCTCACAGACATTTCTGCTGATGAAGGCAAGAGACCTTGTCAGGGAATATAACATCATCCATTCAGAACCGTCTAAAGAGGAAGGCTTTTAGAAGAGCCCAGTGGCTGCTCTGAGATCATAAACTTTCATACAGTGTTTATAGACTGATGAGCTGATTAGCCCTAACTGTAGGCTGTCTCTTATGCCTAGCAGGAAGAACCCTTGAATTTTACAACCCTCTCCTCATTATTCCTTTTGTTGTGAACAAGAATTGCCTTAAAGGTTCATAACTTTGGTGAACTACTGTGCTGCTGTTTGAAGAAACAAAGGATTCATGGATAATTGTGGGGTGGGGGGGAGCAAAGCACTCTCTTCCTCCATGAAAATAGAAGCTTTGCTGGAAGACTTACTGTTACAGATCTCCTAAAAAACACTGTGTTTCTAAATCATGCAGCAGCAGTGAATAATGGTTATTGCTGTGGATTTTACTTCTCTACCCAAACTTAGATTGTATTGAATCAAACAATAGGAGAAGTCAGGTTGTTTTCCTGCTGCTATATAATTCTAAATAATTCTATTTAGAAGTCCAGATTCTAAAGCAGGCAAAAATCTTTTATTTGAATAATAGATCCCATTCTAGGATGTAAATGAATCCATGGTGAAGTATGTCTTCTCCTAAGCTAGCGTCTCATGAATTTCAGTGAAAAGGTGCTTAAATGAGGTCTGATTGCCAGCAACCCCCACAAGTAGGCCCCTTGCAATATCGCTGAGTAGTAATTAGATGGAGTGAATCTTTTTTAGAGCTTAAGGAACCTGCAAACTAGAGGCTGCCTTTTTGAATGTGTGCTACTGCAATTCTAGTAGGTGATGTCTGTGCTCGTTTAATAATGAAGCAGTGCCTTAGCATGCCCTTTGTTGCTGGGAATTGCCCACTCCCCAAAGTTTAGACCAGCAGTGAAATCCACTTTGCACATTATTCTTTTCTTTGGGTATTCAGATGCACACTTGATTTGGCATCTGCTTAAGCCTTAAAAATATAATGTGTGAATATGCCCTAAATGTGCTTTTATCCCCTTCCCCCCATTTTTTGAACAAAGCATGAACTTTTTGAGTCAATTTCAAAAGCTTTCTAACAAGTGCCTTATTTAAAACTGACTGTGAATTTTTATGTATGCCGACACTCCGTAGGAAAGCAGCAGCTTGTTATAAATGAGAAAGTGAAAGAAAGAGACTAGAAAATTAGTGGGGCTCTGGTTGTAGATGCCAAGAGACAAATGGCTTATAAATGTGGTGTCACAGGAATACAGCAGGTAGATGCAAAGGATAGTGTGTTCAGATTATTTATGAATTGCTGGAAATGAATTGGGAAAGCAGGAGTGATGATGTTTTATGCCTTTTACCTTTATTTTCATATAATAATCAAACTATATTGTAACTTGGAGGAGTAGGGATATATGGTCCCAGTTTGCCTGACACAACAACCTGCTATGGGTAACCAAACGTTGTTATTTTTCACTAACAATCAAAGAATCCATGACTTGTTTCAGGGTTGTTGATATCCGTGGTGGCTTGTGGTGTCATCCAAACCCAGCAGGGTGAATTCATCATGGATTGCCAGGAACTCCTGCCCACTGAGAGCAGGACAGCCTCTCATACTTTGCCGTCTTGCTTGTGCTGCCTCCATCCCCCTCTGCCAGTGACTGCCCCTCCACCAGTGCCCCAACTGCTCTTTGGAGGGACCATCTCTAGTTCAACACCTTTTTAAAACAATTTTTCTGAGCTCTGAGGTCACAAATAGGGACACAAATGGGGAAGCAAATGGAATCTTTAAAATGAAATCTCCCAGGTATTTCAAAAGTGCACAAGAGAGCAGATGCATTTTGGTTGTTAATCATTTCTGAAATTTGACAGCCTGATTCCTCTCCAGACATTAGGTGTACAGTTCACCAGTTGCTTAGCCTAAAACGATGTGTCTGATTTTTTTTAAGACCTAAAGTGTCCTTATCATGAAGCAACTCCAATCCTTTTTAAAAGTGCTGGGATCATGCCCCCTCCCACTCAGAAAAAATCCATACTAACATGCTGCGCTGTAGTGTTGCCTTGTTCCTTGCAATGCAGAGTGGCCTTGTGTCCCACTTCACAGATGACAGTCCTATATCTCTGTCCACTACTTGAAACCCTTCCCAGTCCCGGGCAGGTTTAGAGATAAAGGGCTGAGAATAGCCTGGCCACCAACAATTAGCATGTGGGCAGCAGGCAGGGCAGACACACCAGTTACCTGTTTTTCCCCACTGTGGTGAGATGTATAGTTTTCTATTTAAATTATAATAATTATTTCCAACTTTCTTGTGCAATACTAAATGAACAAATTCAGTTTTGCACAAATATTAGGATGTATAATCTTTGTGCAACCCTGTCCCTTCTTTTGCTCTCTCTTTTGGTAAAGTGTACCTGGCCACTCTATTGCGATGTGGTGAGAAAACTAGGTAGATTTGCTTTGTGATCTACAGAATATATAGGCCAGGATCCAGAGGGCTACTTGTGTGCACCCAAAGGCTTGTGTGCATCCAGTGAATTATATATATTTCTTACTTATTTCCTTTGAACAGCTGAAACCCATCTCAGATCACAAACTGTGTTTAATACTTGACACTGTCAAATGCATCCAATGTGCAGTGATTACAGTTTCAGTAAGTCCAAGCCCTGGTTTTGTGTCCAGTGTTTCAGATTCTAACCATATAGGATCTGTGTGGGTCTCTTATGAGAAAGAGACCCCCAGGGCTTTTCTGTAGACATTGTTAGCCTTCAGCCACTACAACATGCAGTAATTGCTGTGTTTACATACAGGTAGCCACAAGCTTTGAGAAGCAACAGTAAGTAATTTAGCAGAGCAGGTGCCACTCACATACAGTCTGTGGTTGTGTTCCCTGTCATCTCTGCTCCAGAATCCTGAGAACCTCAAGGTAATTTCCAACCCATCTAGTTCCAAAGATGTGTTTGAACATGGCAGCAGAAATAAGGTGTGCACAGACACCAAACCTCGCATCCAGAGCTCCATGTGAGTTAAGCTTCTGTGTGTGAGAGCTTTTCCATTCATTTCCATGGAAAGGGCATCTTTGCACATGCATGTCCATTCACTCCTCCTTTACAGTGAATGGGCAGCTCTGTCAGGTGCAGGAGCTGAACATGCATGTCATAGTGCCTGCATCCCCCAGGAACCACTGGCGCAGGGCAATGCATGCAAAAGCCTTGTGGGGTTATGTTTTCTAGGGTAAGCAGGGACAGGTTTACCTCATCTTCACGTCTCTTCAGAAATAGGATGTTGTTGTTACATTTTGCAGGTCTTACAAAACTACAAAAGTATCGCCACCACCAGCACACCTCAGTCACACGTTTTGAAGTCAAAAGTATATAAAATTTTGTGTAATGTCCAGATGTTTCCATCAGTTGTTCTGCTGGATTATGTGCAATAATAAAATGTTATTTTGCTCACATCACCAGCTATGAATTCTTAGATGAAAGTGGGAGAGTGATTTGCGATATCTGACAAGGTGAAGGCTATGAGTGGCGAGGCATCAGAGAGCAACCTAGCCTTCACAGATTTCAGTAGGACTGGAGTCAACGGTGCCTGCTCTGAAAGCAGTGGAGAAGGTTTTGTGGGCAGTGGCTGGGTGAACCCCCTGGGCCCTCCGTGGGCCAGACAGTGTCAGCGGGCAGGGAGGTCACCCAGGCAGCAGCCAGAACATTGGCCGGAGCTCCTCTTCCAGCACTTTGGTCATGCCAACTCCATGGCACATCAACTCTCCCAGCTGTTGGCGGCCCGTGCACACTGGAGCCACCCTGACCAAGCTGCTGACTGGGGGAGTGATTACTGATTGGAAATAAAAGTAGGTATTCCTTTCCCTACTCTCCTTTGGGGGCAGGGTCTGGGGCAGGGCTTTGCCGGTGGCTCCAAGGGCCACAAAGACCAAGCTGGAAAGCCCAATCTGACCCACAGGATGGAAGCTCCTCGGCCCTGTGGTGAAATCTCTCAGCGATGGCTTGGAAGTGCTCTCCTGTATGCAGGGCATCAGTGTGCAGGGCACGTCAGCCCCCTCACCAACATTCCCTCCTCTGTGCAGACCTTCACTTGTTGATTGGGAAGGTCTGCAGAGGGCTCTCTAAGCATATTTGTTCCATGACTGTACATCTTATCAGTGTCACCAGTCACAGGATTTCTCTAAGTGCAATCAGCTAAGCAAAAGTCAGGCCAAGTGTGAGGATCAGAGTTGGAGCTGGGCATGCAGGGATACTGGGGGAGCACTTACATGCACTACATCATGTGTGCCCTTCAGACAAGCAGAGGAGCACCTGAACAGTGTTACACATTTACAAACATCTGCAATGAATTCATGATAGATTCAGGCTTGGAACCCCATCTGGGCATATGCAGTGACGTTCTCTGCACCTTCCTCTTCTCAGCAGCCAGTCCAGATCTCTGGAAACAGAGCAGGGGACCGTGATGAAAGGACAGCAAGGGAGGGAGAGCCCAGAAAAGTGGGCAAAGGACCCCTCTGTGTGCAGAGTCTTTTTGTCCATGGAAAGTAGACCTTGGTTCTAACCCATGGTTTATCATTTCATTCTGAGATTAACAGCTGTCCAGTGCCCAGTGAACAGTTCCAGTCCCTGCTTGGTCATAGAGCCAACTGGTGACTTTGGGCCACTCACAGACTCTCGGCCCAGCCTACCTCACAGGGTTGTTGTTGTATTGAGAGAGCAGCAGGAGGAGAATTATGTAAGCAGCTCTGAGTTATTTCTAAGAAATAAGGTGGGATATAAATCTAATAAATAAATAAAAGCATGAAGGCCTATATTTAGGCATTTTCCCAAAATATTGGGTGGCATCCATATTTATGCAGAATCAGCTGCATTCCCTACCCCTTCCTTTCAGTGGTAGCAACTTGAGTCCTTTGAAAATGCCATAGAGAGTTCCAAGACCCTGGTAAATAGGGTGAGCTAGCGCTCTCGCTCTCGCTCTCGCTCTCTCTCTCTCTCTCTCTCTCTCTCTCTCTCTCTCTCTGTGTGTGTGTGTGTGTGTGTGTGTGTGTGTGTGTGAAGGGAGGATGCCCCCAATACTGGCAGAAGAACTTTCTGTGAGCAGAACTCTTCCTTTCACAGAAGGTTCTTGTGATTGCCTTTAATTCTGATAAAAAGTGCCAGTGGCAGGTTGGTTCAATTCAAATAAATGTTAAGCAGCTGCTGGAATAATCAATACACCTTGCCAGGCTGGCTTGAATTTGGCTAGGGAATGGCAACTTCAAGGAAACTTTCTTTACAATGAGGGGCACTTGAATATAATGGGAGCCGGCAATTCCTGCCAAGAACTTTTGAGTAGGTGGTACATAGGAGGTGAAGGAGGAAGCAGGACCTTGCAGCTGCCTCAGTCCAAGAGCATGAGCAACTGGATTGCAGAGCTGCAGCCTTCCATGCCTGGCGTGAAGACTTCAGCCGAAAACAAGGTGAGGAATGTGGGTTGTGTGGTGGCCAAGGAAGTATCATGGGCTAGAGACTCCCACTCATCTGATCTCTGCGAGATGATATGACAGGGATAAAATTCTGTGGTTAATGCCCTAGAGAGATTCCAGTCCAGAAATACTAGCTGCAATGGCGCAAGGAGAGACTGTAAAATAAATCTTGTCGAGAAAGTGGAGTTTGCCAAAGACACCCTTTATCTTCCTTAGCAGCCTGAACATTTGTCCTGTGGAACCCTCTGCTGGAAAGGACATGCCATGACAGATTTTGGCCCTGGGGCTGGAGGAATCTATCCATTTCATTTCTTTATTTTGCTTTCTTATCTTAGTCTACATGACAATCTGTATGCATTTTTGTGCACAGTTTTCATAATATATGCCCTTTCTATGCAATTCTGCCTATTGTGCATTTTGCAAGTATTTCCCTGAATATAATGCAATTTTAACGTGTTCATTAACATGCATCCCCTGGGGAAAAATCAATACTGCTGCTATTCAGCACTTTCTTCATGCAATCTGATAGACAAAAACTGCAGGAGGGTTAACTGACATCCCAGGCACTTGAAACAGCCAATGATCTCTTGTATTTCTTATGGCATAAATGGACATAGTCCCTGAAGTCTACCATGGAATAATAAGCAAGGGCTTGGGTGCTTCAAGACTAAAGGTGTCATTCATTCAGGATACTTGTAACTATGGCTGGGATGAAACATAACAGAACCTATCGCTCTAATACTCACAGAGTTCCTTTAGTTCTCAGCCCGGTCTTAGAAAGTGAGCTGAGCCAAGAGGAACTCCACAAATGCTCACGGACCCACAATGGTGCAATTGACTACCTTCTTCCTCATCAGGTGCAGCAAGACAGAGAGTGGCTCCTGCATGGGCACAGAAGAGGGATGCTGCTTGTGCAGGGTGTGGAGCTTGATTCCTGGTGAGCACCCTGTGATTGCTGGATGTGCTTGCCAGGAAACTGGACTCAGGAGTGCAACAAAGTGGACCTGAGTCTGGGGAGGTGAGCCAAGGAATCTGACAGATTCCCACCTCCACAACAGGTTCTTCGCACAGCTCTGCCTTAAACCTCAGAACTTAGAGGTTTCTAAGTCTTCACAAAACTTTGTACACATTTTTCCAAATATTTGCATTTTACACACACATTTGCTAACCATTTCTCCTAACATTTTTTTTCCTTGAATATGCACATTTTTATGCCCACTTTTCCCTTGTAGATGTACTTTTGACCAGATCTTTTGACCAGAAAATCTCATTGTAAATTTTTGGAAGTGGGAATAGAAAAAGACGCCCACATTTCTTAGGAAAGAGCTGGTGTGGTGTGGTGGTAAGAGTGTTGAATTGAGAACCTGAGAGATCCAGGTTTTGTTCTGACCATGAAGCTCACTGGGTGATTTTTAGCCAGTCACTCTCTCCCAACCTAACCTACCTCACAGGGTTGCTGTTATGAGGATAAAATGAAGCTACCTCTGGGTTCCTCACAAGAGGAAAAACAGGTGGGTATAAATGCAAAGTAATAATTCTAGCTGACATTTTGGTTTGGGAAGTCTGCATTTCCCCTCTGATCTCTAGATTTATTTAGACTTGCTGTACTTTATAGTATTTCCCCAGCATAAATTGTAGCATACATAAAACTATGAGAGTGAGTCCAAAGTTTACTGTGCTGAGTTTCAACTTATGCAAAAGTATTTGACTCAAGTACATGAGAATGCTTATTGGATTGCACTTCCAAGCATTAATAAAGGGTTCCTTTGGGAAGCCTTAAGTGTGTTTTTCAATGAACGAGTTTGGAACTGGCTGTAAATTGCATCAGTTCTTTTGCTATTTCATGTTGCAGGCTACAGTGAAGGCTGCTGTTGTAGCTGCTGGAGTGGTAACTGCTACATCATGGGGCAGAACTCTGGCCATTGGGTCTGGCAATGCCTCCTTTCCCTTTTAATGGCCACAGTTGGCGGTTTTCCAAATTTTGTGCAGTACTTTCCCCATTTAGAAGGCTGAAATGCCTCTCCTATGGGTAAGTTAACAGCACCAAGAGCTTTAAGCTACTGCGTGCCGTCATTTTTTGGCCTTTCTGCCTTTAGCATTGCCCACCACTGGAAAATGATCCCCAGGCGCTTTTCCAAAATGGAATTCAGTCCTCAGTCTGCAAGAGGTCCAGTGCCTGTGGTCTACATTGTACACAAGATGCCTGTCATCCCGGAACTGAGGTTTCATGAAGGGATATAGCTTTATAGAACTGTTGCTAAGGCAACCTATCTATTTGTGTGCATTGTTTGTGCTTTTAATTTTTTTTAATGCTCTGGTTTCCAGAAAGGCAGCAGGACAGCCAAGGATTCAGCAGAAAAAGAGAAAAATGATGCAGCCTACGCAGGAGAACACTTTGAACTAGAAGGCAAAGGACAATGGTTGTGGAAACCAAGGCTCAGAGCATCGAACTGCACTAAGAGGGTCTGTCTTGTGGAGGATTTACCTATGAAGTGCATACAGCTGCTGCTGGTGCTTTGGAAACCATACAGCACCCTCAAATATTGCCCTTCAAATAACTTGCATTTGTAAGTGTGTCATTGCATGGTACCTGGAAGTAAGATTGGATGAATCTATCAATTTACACCATTCATACTTCTCCCAGTAGCTCATTTTTTCCTGCCTTGGGTATGAACTATCTCAGTCCTGGCAGGTTTCTCCAGTCTAAAGTTCAGTTTTATTCCAGATGCTGAGATTTTTTAAAAGTTTGTATGAAAATTCATTACCATTTCTTCTAACATAAGCATTTTTGTATGCAGGATTGCCTACTGCCTGATTTTTTTGCCAGCCGTTTCCCTAATATAACACATTTAAAAAAGATTATATCCACCAATATGCACTTCTTTTGTTTTCATTCTTTGGTTGGAGAACTTCACTGAAAATTTCAGAAGTCTGAATTTTTAAGGATGACTCAGTTTCAGTTTTTTCATATTGTTTGGAAGTGCAAAATTAGG